TACAGATCGCAAATAAATACATGAAAAAGTTCAACATAATTGGTCATTCAAGAGATGCAAATTAGAACAACACTGAGATTCCATCTCACCCCAGAAAGAACGGCTGACATCAAGAAATCAGCCAATAACAAATGCTGGAGGGGCAGTGGGAAAAGAGGAACCCTTCTCCATTGCTGGTGGGAGTGTAGACTGGTGCAGTCACTGTGGAAATCAGTGTGGAGTCACTGTGGAAATCAGTGTGGAGAGTCCTCAAAAATCTAGAAATAGGGGTCCTATTTGATCCAGCTATTCCTCTTCCAGGTATCTTCCCAGAAGAATTAAAAACATCATAGCATAGTGACACATGTGCACCTATGTTTACAACAGCCCAATTTGTCATAGCTAAGTCTTGGAGACAACCCAAACGCCCATCAACTGAGGAATGGATAAAAAATGATGTGGGTTTTCTTATACAATGGAGTATTACTCAGCCATGAAAAAGATAAACTGGAGATTTTATGGGTAAATAGATACAACTTGAGTCCCTACTAAGTGAAATAAATTGGACTCACAAGTGTAAGCATTGTATTGTCCCCTAGTGTGAAAGGCTGAGTAGATACTATAAATGTATATGAATTCTAGAACTAATGTTTTGTTAGCCTTCCAAAACGTTTCTTTTTTTTCAGAATTGTTTTACTGAAATTTACTGAACAATTTTTGGATTTCCATATTAATTTCAGAAAAGCCAACCAATTAAACAACAAAATTGGATTTTTCACTGCATTAGATTATTAGATCAGTCTGTGGAAAATTGTTAACTTCAAGTGTTTCACCTTAAAATGTTTCTTGAGATCTTTAATTTTTCTGTAATATTTTTAATTCTGTATATAGGGCTGATAAATTTTATGGTGAGAGTTATCACTTTTTTATTTTTAGTACTGATAATCACTGTATTTTTTTGTTTGTTTGTTTGTCACCATGAAGTGGAAGTATAGTTTCTTTTCAATAAACATTAATTTTTAAAAAACGCTTTCTTGCTGCCGAGCGGGTGTTTGCCCTGCACTTTGCTCTTCAGAGCGTGCCATCCAGGGCGCCAGGCCTGGCCTTCTCTGTGAGCAGACTGGGGTGGGGAGAAGCTGACAGGACGGGGAGGATTTCCAGGAAAGGTTCGGTGGAAGGTCAGTAGGCCTCGGCTGTTCTCTGCCTTCCTTCCTGTGCCCTAGGCCAGACTTGCTAAAGACTTCTACGGGTCCTTTCTACGAGACTGCCGTCTGTATTCCTGGTAAGTTCTTTCGCTTTCCTATTCACGAGTCCCCCTCGTTCTGCTCTGAAGCCCTCATGGCGCACAGCAATACCTTCGGCTGATGGTCGATGCGGTAGGAGGTCTGCTGGAACTGGCGGATCTCTCGGATGATGTGTGAAATCTGCAGAGACAGAGAGGCAGGCCATGGGGGCTGTCTCCCCGGCTCGCACCCCTTGCTCTCCTGGGTCCCCCAGGGCTGCCGCTCCCGGCCCGGTGCGCTCGCCCTCTGGGGACCACGGGAGCTGCCCAGAGCACGGGCAGCTGGCGCTAACGGCGGGGTCCGCAGAGCGGGCGGGGCTCGCGGCCTCCTGGGGGCGCTCAGCTGTGCCACCTGCCCCCGCCCGGCCGAGGCCGACTGCGAGGCGTGCACCCCAGGTCTCCCGGCAGCGGGCGGGGCTCGCGGCCTCCAGGGAGCGCTCAGCTGTGCCACCTGCCCCCGCCCGGCCGAGGCCGACTGCGAGGCGTGCACCCCAGGTCTCCCGGCAGCGGGCGCTCGCCCCGGCGCCGCCATCGCCACCCGCCACCCGCCTGCCTCTTGTCGTCTGTGACAGTCACGGACACAGGCGGACAGGAGTCATCACCCACCATCCTCATTTTGGAGAAGTTGACGAGGCCTTCTTCCGTGAAGTTCGGGGTTCCCTCTTCGATGAACGCCAGGTCCGTCAGGTACATCCCGAGGTAGGGAACCGCCGGGGGGTTACAGCTGCAGGACAAGAAGCTCGAGGGCAGCCGCGGGGAAGCCGCTCCTCTGCGGGTCACACGCGGAGCCGCGACGCCGCCCCCGGGCCCCAGGCCAGCACTCCCGTGTCGCTGTCACGCCATAGCAGAATACAATACAAAACACGGCCACACCTCCCTCTGCTCCAGACGGGGCGCGTCCCCACGTGTGGGCACAGATGCAAATGCCTGCCGCAGTAAGTGTCCGCAGTGCGCGGCAAGGAGCCAGACTGCTCTGAGGAGTGGAACCACCGCTGGACTTTGCATCCAGCTGTCCCCTTAAGACCTCACGCATCTAAGATGGCACTTCAGAAGGTGCGTGAATTCTGGGGCTCAAAGCTGACCTGCTGTTAAGCAGTGGGACCTGGTCAGAGGAGGCAGTCACTGTGGGCGTGGCCTGGAGAGAGGAGGCCGTGGCGGGCGTGGCCTAGGAGGCGGGGTCACTGTGGGCGTGGCCTGGGGAGATGTCTCAGTGGGCAGGGCCTAGGAGGTGGGGTCACTGTGGGCGGGGCCTGGGGAGAGGGGTCCACAGTGGGCGTGGCCTGGGGAGAGGGGGCCACAGTGGGCGTGGCCTGGGAGGCTGGGTCGCTGTGGGCGTGGCCTAGCAGGGTTCGCCTCTCTCCTGGCTCCCCCCTTGCTCTCCGCTTCCCATCCACCGAGCTGTGAGCAGCTCTACTCCGCCCTGCCCTCAGCTGTACCACCTGGCGTTGGGGCCAGTGGGCCATGGATGTAGCCATGCGCAAGATGGCCCTGTTCTATCAGTAGTGGGTGCCAGGTACTGCGTGATGTTGACTAGAAAGCAACTAAGACAAACCCGCGGGAAAAGCCTCACGCCCTCACCTCATGAAAGCACACACAGTCAACCTAAAGAACTGTGGAAAACTCAGTGTGGTTAGAGCCGCACATCACAGCAGGCCTGTTTCCAGCTGTAGTACTTCAATGTTTTAGGAGGACCACAGCTGAGGGCCATGCTGGCTTCGTTTTGGAGGGGAGGGAGAATGCCTGGTCTCCCCAAGCCTCAGGCTTTCCCCACTGAAAGAACCGGGCTAAATCCCAGCTTGATCCACCACCGGGCAGACTTGTGGCTGCAATGTTCTCGTCTGTGCAGCGAGCTGGAAAAGCCCATCTCCTGTGTCCCTCAGGCTTGCAGAAGACGCGAGCCCTCAGCAAGGAGGCTGTCGTTCAGCCGTTGGCGAGGAGCGCTCATGCTGGCGTCGCCGTTGTGATTTTTGCCATTGTTAATATTTCTTTCCCTCCCCCCATTGCAAGACTAGTGCTTTTCCAGAGTAAGTACAATCATGCAGCGGATCGGGAGAAAAGAGCTGCGGGAGGGTAGCACCACTTCTGTGCTGTGGAAGTGAGCAGTAGGCAGGTGGACAGAGAGACAGAAAGACAGGGAGGGAGGGAGCGAGAGGGCCCGGAAATCTACAGCCCAAATAAACAGCACTAATCAACTGGTGTTACATTTAAACGAAAAAATTACAGGAATCATTGTGTGTAGGTTTAGAGACCCTGAAGCAAGAAGCCTACAGGCTACACTACAGCGCAGCTTGATTTATTCTGGGATTTTTTTTTTCTCATTGGGAATATGCTGTATACCATGAGTGCATGCATAAGGTGCTTACTGTATGCGCAGTATTTTAAGAGAAAAGGGAACTCCAAAATACCCAAGTGATTCTCACCCTGCCCTCCCACATGGGGAGTCATTTCTGCTTGCTTTTCTTTTCCAGCAATGAAGGAGGTACATCACCATTTGTACACCCTAAGAATACAAAACTCATTTAGAAATCAAACTAGACCTACTTTTTAAGGGTTTCTCTGAGATTTTTAAATCTTCCTTCGGATGAAACAGTCTTCTGCAGTTTGTCCATCAGAGCTTTTGTCTAAAACAGAGAGGAAAAACTTAGTTTGTCCAGAGAATACCACAGCCTGCCCAGAAGCCAGTTAGCAGAGGTCGCAGGGTGCCTGGCACTGTGACAAGCGCCAATGTGGCACCGGACAGAGGTCGTGTGTGACAGTCCTGCAGTGCAGGGTAGAGCTTCACATGGACCTTCAGTGCTGAAGAGAAAAAGAGCGGGTGGGAAAGAAGTGCCTGTAACCCCGCCCTCAGCCACGGGCAGAGCAAGGGGGCGCAGAAGCGCTGGCGCGTGCAGGAAGCCCGGGAACATGGGGAGCTGGAGCTCACAGGCTGAGCTTGCCCTGCACCTGCAAGCAAGGTCTCAGCCACGTGCCACACGATGAATGTTCCCTGCGCTGAGCCCCAGACCACCCAAGTGACACGGGCTGCTCAGTCCTGACTGAGCAACACCCCCCTCCGAATCCTTTCTTTTGTGATGACCACCATCAGTGTTTTGGAAAAGTAGAACTGGAATGTACTAAACAATAATGCTGATGACATCTGCCAGGTGGTCTCCATCCTCCAGCTCCTCTCTGGAGGAGCATCTGGCCTTGCCAGTTGGAGGTGTACACGCTGCAGGGGTGGTCAGAACATCTTCGGGGTGGCCTAACTCTTGCTCTACGACCTCTGTGCTGGTGTGGGCTGGTGTCAGCTTACCGAAGCTGTGCAAGTACTGGGAGCCCACAGCCACAGCCACAGGCCTGATCCAGTGCTCCAGAGCACAGTCTGCCTGGGCCTTCTGCATGCCTCCAGGGAAGACCTCAGAGCAGGAGCAGATGGAACCACCACCAACTGCCGGAGAAGAGGATCTGCAACAGGCCCTGCAACAAGGGGAGGCACCGGCCTGACACTGCCTCTGCAGGGCGACAGCAGCCTCTACCCAGACCACACAAGCAGCTCGTACACTCCGTCCAAAACTGGAAACAGTACCTTTACTACTACTCTAGCATCCCTATTCCGTGGTCCCCCATGCCTGCATCCTCTCAGGACAAGGACACTGCATAAGCCACCTACACAGAGGGCTCACAGCTTCTTCAGGCAGAGCTGGAAACCCCACAAAGCAGCCTCACAGAAAAAGACAAGCAGGAAGAGAAGGCACAGGCCTGAAGGAGGGTATCAGCAAGCCTGGTGAGGCGTGGCTCTGAGTGACAGGGTGACACTTCCAGCCCCCCAAAGCCAGCACCCCAAGGCTGGGTCCATCATCCTGGGGAGAGGCAAAACCTCGTCACGACAGAGGGTCAGTGCCCATCTGGGGTTCTCTTATAGGGGTCCACAGCCAGTTTTCAAACAGTATTCTGATGCCCTTTACTACAACTTTGCTTTAGTTACAAAGCAAACTCAAAGAAGGGTGAACAAGACGTGTAGGCAGGCAGACACGCAGCTTGAGGCCCCGACGTTAAGTGAAAGACCTCAGCTGCACAGCTTCACCGTCACGCAGCTCCTCACAGGAGAAACCAGGAGTAGAGATAAACTAAGGAGCAAAATAAAGGTCAGATAACAGGAAACCAGGAGACAGATCTTCTACAAATGGGAGGGGACCTGGAGATGGCGGGGAGAGGGGCGGGTTGGGGCCATGAGGAGCTCGGAGACAAAGATGCCTTAGGTCCGGGCGCCAGCTCCATGCGAGGAGCCATTACACACAGCAGATGAACACTAGTGAGTAAATTGAAAGGACTCTTAGAAAACCAGGAAAGGGGGCAAGTTCCTCAGTTTTAGAAAAAGGTATTTATCAAAAAAAACTACTATAGAGCTGGGGAGATGACTCAGTAGAATAAATGCTTCCAAGTGCAAGGGCCTGAGTTCAATCCCCAGTTCTGCAAAAAAAAAAAAAAAGAAAGAAAAGAAAAGAAAACAAACAAACAAACACCCCCCAAAAAAAACCCCTACTATCATCCTTTACAGTGAAAAACTAAATGTTTTCCCCTGATGCTAAAAACAAAGCAAAAATTATTTTTCTCATCACTTTTACTCAACACAGCACTAGGAACACTAGCCAGGGTGATTAGGCAAGAAAAGGAAATAAAAGGCACATAGATCAGAAAGAACGAAATGACTGCTCCTACTTTTTTTTTAATGAATTTAGGACAGGGTCTACAGGGTGTTCAGGGTCTTACTACATAGATCAGACTCATAGCAGTCCTCCTGTTTTCAGCTTCCCAAGTGCTGGGATTATAGGCACGCACCACCACGCCCAATCTCAATCGCTATCTCAGTGCGCCCCGGGGGCAGGGCCAGCATGGCACACCAGGGATTGAACCCCTGCAGCTGCACTCTGCCGAAGCAGGCGCTTTAGTCCACTGAACTATCTGGCCAGCCCTGACTGTTCCTATTTTTAAATGACATAATTGTCTAAGTGTGAAATTCTAAAAAAACTACAAAAAAGCCTCTAAACTAATCAGAGCAGCAGGTGTAATGGGTCGACTGAATTTTGTGCTATAACTACGGAAAACTATTAGGTTCCCTTACGCTTCCTGTTAGCTACCCTAAGGAGTGTGTTCTCGCCCTCTGTTCAGGGCTGCTTAGTAAAGGAGCAACTGTCTCCCTCCCCTCCCTAATCTAATTCCTGTAAATACAGTCAGCTTAAGATCTTGTAAAAAAAAGCTTGCTCAACAAACCCCCACATAGGCAAGTTGCACACATCGCTACACTGTGAAAGACCCCTTAATATAGTGATTTCTTACTTTAAAAACTCCTTGCTGCCTGGGCTAGGGGCCGCTCAGTCTTCTCCTGCATGAGAACTCACTGACGGTCCTGAGCTCAGTAATAAAGGCTCTTTCAAATTCCAGTTCGGATTCTGGTTCCTACACTGACCTGACCCATAACATGGTGACAGCTTGAAGCATGACAGTAGAAAGTCAGTCACGTCTGCACGTGTGAACATCAAACCTGGGTGTGGACACTAAAATTCAAACCACAATGACATTTAAGATGTCTCCAGGGGCCGGGGAGCTGGCTCAGTGGAATAAGAGCTTCCCTGGCAAGCGCAAGGGCCTGAGTTCAAGCCCTGGCTCCACAAAAGAAAAAGAAAGAAAGAAAGAAAGAAAGAAAGAAAGAAAGAAAGAAAGAAAGAAAGAAAGAAAGAAAAGAGACGCATGTGTTTGGGCTGGCAAGATGGCTCAGTGGTCTGAAGCACCTACTTGGAACAAGCTTGGCAAAGCACAGAGACTGCGGTTCGATCCCCCAGCACCACATGCCAGCCAGCCCCTGGCATGGAGGTGAGCTGGCCATACACACACACACACACACACACACACACTCACACACACACACACAATAAACAAATAAATGTTAAAAAAAAAAAGATGTCTCCAAAGGAAATATAGTATTTTGGAATGCAGTCAGTCAACAAGACTTGCATCGGACTTGGATACTGCAAAGTGCTGATGGAAGAAATTTTTAAAAAACCTGAATAAATGGAGGAATGTACTATTTAGGGACAGGAAGACTCAACATAGTAAAAATGTTGGTTTTCCTTAAACTGGGCCATTTAATGCAATTCCAACCAAAGTCCCAAAGATACAGAGAGACCTACTGTAAAATTTATATGGATAGCCCCAGCACCTAGTAAACACAAAATAATTTTGAAGAAGAATAGAGTGGGAGAAGCATCTGAAGAATTCTGAAAACTTAACAGTAAGTAAATAATCTGATTGAAACTTAGCCAAAGACACAGAACAGGGCTATAGATGGCAAACAAGCACACGATGGGGGCCTACTGCTGTCAGCCACCAAGCAAGTGCACACTAGAGCCCAGGGAGCTATCCGAGGAACGGGAGTGAAGAATAATAATCACGCCAAAGGCTACAACAATACAGACACACTGGCCGCGCTTTTCCAACACACATTCAGAATTTTATAGCCACTTGAGAAAGTGTTCGACAGATTCGTACAAAACTAGACACGGAGTTAGCCATGATCCAAATGCTGTATTCTTGGACATTTATCTCAGAAATGGAAACTGATCACTCAAGATGGTTACATGAATTTTCATAGGAACTTTTCAGCAACAGCCTGAAACTAGAAACTTCCCAAATGGCTGTCTCAGTTCTCTTCTCTCGTTGCTGGGACAAATACCCGGCACTCAAAATGAAGGAAGGAAAGGTTTATTCAGCTCACAGTTACTGGAGGTTTCAGTCCATACTTAGCTGGCTCCAAGGCAGAGCGGTGCACGGCAGAGAGCAACCTTTCATGGCGGTGGCAAAGAGCAGAGAGCAAAGGGAGCGGCAGCAGCTCAGGCCACTAGCCAGCCTCTCTCCCCCCCTTACGCTATCGCACAAATTACCTGCCCCAGGGCAGGTGCAGCACCCACACCCACAACAATCAATCACAAACTCCAGAAGCTGCCCCGTGATGCATGAGGCTTTGGGGGGACACCTAGACACAAACCCTAACAATGGCCTACGTGGAGTGAATGGTCACACAAACTGTGGTATAGTCGCAGAAGGAACGCTATGCAGCAATGAATGGGAACTAAGTACTCATATATATATCACTAGAATGGTGCTCAAGAAAACTGAGAGTATGGCAGTATAGCAGTGGGGCTGGAAGCTTTTTTCTTGAAAAGTGTGACATTCTCATAAGAGGACTGTTCTGCATTTTGACTTTGGTAGTGGTGGCCTTATTAATCAACTCATGAAATAAAAATATATAGAAGTACACACACACAGAGGACATACAAAGCTGGTGCCAATGTTCATTAATTTTCTTATTCTTAGATTGTCTGTAGTTAGTGACACAAGAGACTGCCGTCGGGGGAAACTAAGAGTCATATGTAGAGAATCTGTATCATTTCCTACAACTACAAAATATGTTTGCCAGAAAATAATATTACTTATTTTTTTTAACAAAACTGTAGCTTTTATTGCTGGATCCAGATTCTGTTGACAATGACAACGGATCGCCCACGACATTTACATGAACACTCTCAGGAGCGTTGTAGCAACAGCTGGAACCGGAAGTTCCCCTAAGAGCTGACATGGAGTGCGCGGCCAAGGGAGACGCGTCACGGAAGGCGTGCTGTGCAGAGGCCTGCAGGAGGCTCTCGGAGTGCCGCGTCACACTGAGCAGCAAGCCATTCTGTCTGCTCGCTCTGCTCACGGAGCGGGTGCAGCTACTCGCCACTACGGGCCGAAGAGAGAACTGAAGAGAGGAGTCAGAAGTGACGTGTGTCCCGCAAAGGCGCAGCCTGAGGCGCAGCGAGGCCGGGCAGCCCTGAGCAAGTCTCAGCAGGACGCATGGCTGCTCTCCTCCTGGCCTGGGCCCTGCACACGGGCACCCTGCAGGTGTCCCTCATCCTCCTCGCTGGGCACAGCGAGGCACAACGCAGAGGACAGGGAAGGTTACCTGTTACCCACTGGCACCAGTGGGGCCTGGAAGCGCCCAGAACCCCGCCAAGACCCTTTGAGAGGGTGGGCAGTGATCTGACAGTCACAGACCCACCCGGGGTGGCTGGGACTCTACTGGATTAGCAGGAATCCCTAGGAGACTGATGAAGCAGGCTCCCGGGTGCCCAGTGGGTGACGGGGGTGGGGTCTTAGGTCTCCCCTCCCTCTCTGGTGCTCACCCCACTGTGCTTCCTGGCTGCCACGAGCCGGGCAGCTCTGCTCTGTGCGCCCTTCCACTGTGATGTCTCTGCCTTGGGCCAGCTGAGCACAAACTGAAGACCCTGAAACTGTGAGCCAAGTTCAACCTCCCCCTTGGGACTGCGTCAGGTACTGAGTCTCAACAACGAGAAAGGTGACTGATACCACGGCCAATGGGCAGGGGACCTACAGCGGAGATGAGATGCACCAGGGCCAGAGCAGTGGCAGATCCTTTTAGAGTGGAGTGGGCCAGGCCAGCCCAGCTTCCTGGATGCGACCACCAGGCACAGTTCCTGGCAGGGTGGGCAAACACTCCACACCCATGTACTCCTGTGTCCCTGTGCAGCTGGCCAGGGAAGGACAGGCATCCAGCAGCCCAGAGCAGCCCCAGCCCCAGCCCAGAGGTGGCCTAGGGAGAAGACACAGGAAGAAGGAAGGTCTGGTTTGCAGTGACCTGAATGACAACAGCAGGCAGAGGGCAAGCTGAACCCAGCAGGAGAAACCCGGGAAAGCTGAACTTCTGCGCATCTGTGTCATTATGCCAAACTTTACATCGGCTACACAAATGACAAAAAGAAGGGTGAACACTGAGGTCTTTTGGCCCTAGTTTATACCCTTTCTTGAGACAGAATGAATGGCTCCATCAGTCACCACGGAGATCCCTTGAAATCAATGTGCCCTCTGGAAATGAACCAGGAAGGGACCTCGACTGGCAGCCGTGCTCATGAGACCAGCCCCCAAGTGTTTTACTCAAGTGTTTTGGAAATGCATGCGGGTGGGGTTGGTCAAGTGGTAACAGCACAGTAAGCGCCGCCTTGCTTTGGCACCTGCTGCCCAGCGGAGCTAATGACCACCTGGTCAGTAACGGTCCCCTTGCCCTCCATTGCAGCAGCGGGCTGCGTGGCACGTGGGCGCTCACCTGCTTGGACACTTTGGCCCAGGTTTTCTTCAGCCTATAGATGGCACTTCTGTTTAAGGCTGAGGTGATCTCTAGCACACCGTTGTAGTTGTGCAAGCATCGGCAAATGTCTGCCACAGCGACCCACTTCTCAATGGCGCCGGCGCGGGAGCTGACATCAGCGTAGTTCATTATCTGGGAGGCCACCAGGTTACTCATCTGTGACAACCAGAGAGACCAGGAAAGTTGTGTGGGTGCCAAAGCAGTGCATTTAGGCAGAACATGGGGATCAGCTACAGACCTAGCGGGAAGCAGCGCGCCCAGTACTGTGGAGGCTGCACTCTATGCTTGGACACCAACGTCCTACAGAGACTAATGTCTGCAATGACAGTAACTGCTCATTCTTAGACTGGGGACGGCACTCTGAGTCCAGCTTGAGGGAGGGAAAGGTGACTCTGCTCACCAGTATGCGTGGTGGTGCAGTTATTGGCAATAACCATGGAGGAAACGGGATGGAATGACCTAGCCTCCAGGAAAGCCAACACATGGTAAGCAAGTTGTCACTTCTTGGGGATACACTCTGGGCACCCCAGTTACCATGGACAAAGAGAATGCACTTGTCCCTCAGGCAGGACAAACACTAAGCTGCCTGCCTCTCCTGCCAGAGGCACTGAGTCAAGACAGCCTTCATCCCTATCATTTGTCCCAGCAACTAAAGGGACCTGCTACTTCACTCTGTCATTCCCTTAGCCAGGGCCAGCATAGGACGTCACATCTTGCATTGTGGAAGGGACAGGGGAAGAATGGGTGTGAGCAGAGGGAGGTGGGCCATGTGGCCACATGTCGTACACTATGGGGATACCTGGCGCTTCAGTGATCCGAGATACAAGGCTCTGCGGGCACTTCTGGTCAGCACCATGACCCTGCTTGAGCACCTGCCACAGTGCTATTCTCTGAGCTCCTGCCACCTTCCTGTGAATCAGGGATCGGGGATCGTTGGGCCTCTAGTTGTTGGGTGAAGAGGGGAGGTTTTCAATCAGTGCTTCAGATGAAGTGACTGAGAATCCTCGCTAAGGAGGCGGTGCAGAACTGGCCTTGGGGGTGCTGGGAACAGAGGTGTCAGTGTGCGTTCACTAGAGCCGCAGGTAACAAGCAGGTGTAGGGCTTCTTTTAGAGAAAGGTTTGTAAGAGCCCATGCCCACCCTCCCTGACCCAGTCCTGGCAGCCCCGGCACTCACGTCATTGAAGTGCCAGCTGGTCTTCATGACAAATGGCGTCCTCTCGTTCTTGTCTGGCTTCATCCATCCCTGCCCCAGAAACTCCCTGAAAGGCAGAAGCAGCAGAAACCAGACCTGTTAGGCCCAAGGGAGTGTGGCATGGCCCATGCCGCCTGGGAGGCCACCCACGTGTTGTCTGCCCTCACCCCCTGGCTGCAGACTCCCTCCAGGGACTCCAAGGATGCCAGCTGGACATGACATATATGCAGAGCACCAAGAGTGTGTGGCTCCCCAGCACTCTCCCCTAAAAATGTGTAGAACTTTGTCCCTGTCAGGGCCTATCTGATGTGGAAATCCCCAGCAGAAAAGAAGTTCAGCACTAACTCAGAAACCACGAGTGTTCTATGGATTCACTTTTCCTAAATGCTAAGCTCAGCCAAGGGCCCCCCAAAGCCCATCACTACAGGAATGTTAACAGGGCGCGGAGCGGGTCCCTCCAAGCTGCCCTGAGCCCTCTGCACACACTCCCAGGGAGGGCTTGGTTCTTCCCAGAGATGGGACAGCGTCCATGGCCAGGGCCCAATGAACTTCCTGTGCCACTGTCTCGCAGCATGGTCCTGATGGAGGCAGCCACAGGGCTGGGGGTGTGGGGATGCAGGGGCTCAGGCTGGCCAGGGGTCATCTTCAGGACGGTGTTCTGGGTCAACATTCATTCACTAGCAGCTCACAGTACCCCAGTAGCCAAGGAAGTGGCAGTCCAGGTGGAATCAGTCTGCATGGACGTTTATAAAGAAGCAGCTTGACGCATGGTCACTCTGCAACCCCTTAACACCCGTGTGTTGACAGCATCCTTGTGCGAGGCCCTGTGGCCCTTGCTGTTGCTGCTTCTGCCTTTTGGGGCTGGACACAGAGCTGCACT